AGTTAGACAATTTAAATCCACTTTATTTTTAATATATGTATATAGATAAACAGTTAAAATTTTCCACATCAAAGAGATCTGTTGATTTGTATCTTTTTAAGTCAGTCGCCAGTCAATGTTTTGACTTGTATTGAATATGCTGCTACTTTGCATCAAAGTCAAAGAAATCAGTGGAAAGTACAGTAATTTTGATGGTAATTAGCTCAACAAAAAGCAAATCCCCCTTGTCTTTTCCTATGTCCAACTTGGAACTAAGTTGGGTGTTGGGTTATTCCTGGATAAATGTTTTGACACCTGCGTTAAATTAAACTTTGCAAAGCTGCTACCAAGATTTGTTCCTGGGCCTAGTTCTCCACTTTTTCTGGAGGTTTTCAAAATATTGTGCACCTTCCTTTTCTTTATGATTAAAGAAGAGATGACATATCTAAATGACTTATCTGGTCTGATGTTTTTGAAGCTGTTATTGTCTTTGTATTTACTTAGGAAATGTTTAACACCAAATTTATTTGCATACCACTAAAGCTAGCCCAAGTACCACCAGTTTTACTTGATCCACAGTTTGAAGTTTCTATTGCACTAAAGTCAGAAAACATCTAAATAATCAATACACTAAGTGGGTCAGGTCTTTACAAATGATCCTCCAAATAATGATTTTTAAATGATATTACATTTACAATATTTTCTTCTGTTTTACATTTTCCAGGGTGACGCCAATTGGGAGGCTGTCACTGAACTCATGTCGGTGAGTTATTACACGAACAAATAGAAAGCTAAATGAAAGGCTTGATTTTGTTATAGTGATTTTTGAAGAGTTTAAATGCATTTTTTTTATTTTTAGTAGAAATTTTAAAGCTAGAAATTTATTTTATGTACCGTATTTTCCAGACTATAGAGCACACCTCACTGTAAGCCGCACCCACAAAGTTTTTTTTTTTTTTTAAACCGAAAACAAGCCGCACTGGGCTATTAGCCGCTGGTATCTCCGCCGCTCTCGGTTTTCCACAAATACGCAGCAGAGGGTTGCGTCCTTCATAAATCTGCTATTAACGCCGAACCATGGATACATTCATGCCGAGCTTACATGCAGCTGTACTACCAGCTCGATAGCCTTCGATTTAAAAGCTGCATCATATGAGTTTGAAAACATTTCTCCGTCTTGCCTGCTGCTAGCATGTGCTTGTTCTGAATGAAAATTAGCACTTTCGTCTTTGATTTCCAATTTTGACTTCCAATGATTCACTTCCTGCTAAAGAGCCCCCTGGTGGTTGAAGAAAAATCCACAGAAAAGCCGCACCGGGCAGTAAGCCGCTTGGTTCAAAGCGTGGGGGAAAAGTAGTGGCTTATAGTCCGAAAAATACGGTATTCTGTTTTATATTAGACTGATATTGCAATAATAAAATAAAAATATTTCCATCCATCCATCCATTTTGTACTTTTGTACTTCACATAGTAATGCAGCTCAGCTACTTTCCAACCCTGCTGCGTTGAGCCATTACCACAAAAAAAAAAAGAAAACAATTCATTACATTTGCATGTGTGGCATATTTTGTGATCCACACATTATACATGCCCCATGTACCATTTTTATTATATTAGAGGTTTGAAATGCAGAGCCACTCTTACTTAGTCTAAATTAACAGTGGGATATTTTTATTCATATATTGAAACTCATAGGCTTTCATTTATTGGTTCATGTTGTTTTTTTTACTTGCATCTGTTTGCTTTGTAGACCTCTTTAAAAAAATTCAATAATACAGCCGTGCTAAAATTGGATTATGCTCTCATTCAGTTTTAAGGTGTTGCATCAAAAAATAATGCCTAACCTTCTAGCCTTTATTAGGTTTTAAAACAATTTGAATGCAACTTCAAATCAAAAACAGCTAATGGCCTGTTGCACAGTGTCATGTATTTATTAAAAAATGAAATCACTGCAGGGACCATGTGTAAAAGGCTACACCCTGGAAATGAATTTCTTGTAGAACCTCAGTCAGCGGCTGTAACTTGCAGTAATTATCTTTTTCTTGACCTTTTCACTGCCTTGCCTCTTTGAGGAGGATTTTTTGTGTGTGTGTTGATGAAAGCTACTACTTCTTCAAGATCAGTGGTAATGTATGTCCTTCTTAGCCTTCTATTAAGTCAGACCTTAATTTTCCAGATCAGCAAACTGATAAAATTCCTTATTTTACAGATGTGGGAACACTTGTTGATACTCAGTAAATTACATGCAATGGATTGGCAAAAACTAGCTGCATGCTTTCACTTCTTAATTATTTTGTATTTACTAAAGCTTTCAGACGTTTATTAGATAAATAAGTAGATGCTAACAATAACCAGTGAAAGTCAAATAATTAGATTTTTATATCTCTTGATTTATAAAACCTGATAAATGTATAAAACTACTGTACATCTCCTCCTAAGTCCATTTATGTAGCTGCTGCCAACTAAGAAGCAGATGTAAAATGTGATCCATCCATTAAAGCTATTTGTCCTTTTAAATTGATTATGCAAAGGAGGAGATTTTTCAGGTGTTATCCTCACATTCATAAAGTACTACATCTTGGTATAGTGGCTTTTAAAATTTCCTTTATAGCATTATATTGAGTTGAGCTGATCTATTTCACATTTTGTAAAAAAAAAAAAAGAAAAGAAAAATGGAGGAAGGCATAAGGAAGTGTGATTGATTTACGCCCACAAGACCACCTAATTTAAGCTGTTAAAGTAAATATTAACAAATGTTAAGTCCCAGTGGAGTACTTCTGTTTTATTGCCATCTTTAATCAGGCCAACTCTCCCATTTAACCTTTATAAATCATCTCATTACTTACATTAGTCCTTGGAAACATGACTGCTAATGTCTCAGAGTGAATAGTCCCAGTCTAAGTGAGAGTTTTACTGCCTTCTGTGGGTATTTCTTTGCTAACACTTTGTCCAAAAAAAAAAAACATGCAACCTTTCCTCCTGTATTTGTTGCAGGACATGAGTGCAAACGAGATGCCGGCCACAGAGGTTCCTCAGACGCTGGAGGACTTGGATAGAACCATAGCTACCTTTGACACTATAGAGCAGCTTCTTCAGTCTTTGAGCCCAGATACTTGGAGACAAGATCTGGACAATATCTACACTCAAACATACATATATTATAGATCCAAGTCCTATCATCTGGCAAGCAGACAGAATAAAGGTAAGAGTAGCAACTCTTTGCGAGAATTTAACCTTTAAGAGAAAAAGTTCAGAACCCGGTAATATGCAGAGGGAAAACTGTGTGATGTGCCACGACAAAACCAAGAAGAGGTCACCAGAGTAGAAACAGAGAAAAAAAGTTTAAAACGCCAATTTCAAAAGAAATACTTGAGTTTGTGAAGAAACCACCGTATGCTTTTAACAGTTGATAGACATATTCCCACTTTTTTGTCTGTGGTTTCAGCCAAGAAGATGAACATTTGAAAGAAACACATGGCTGCTTAACATTGCCATCACAATACAGTGCTTCTGACCCAGATCCACAATCTAGATCCACTGTGTAAAAAAAGACCTCAGCTCAGGTTTCTTTATGCAGCAAGAATAAATTACAAAAATCAGTGTTTGCTGTGCCTGGCTGGAGTACATTAAACTTGCCTTGATGTAACATTTAGATTTTTTTCATTCTTACTGATGTGGAGATTAAAATCTACTGTCCTGCCTACAGCATACGGGTACACCAAAGTGGTCAAATAATTGTTAGGTAAATAAGTTGGATAGTCAGCAGGAGTATGTCAGTCATAGACACTTCAAGCATTCTGTATCCTGTGGTGAGTAGATCACCATTCTTGCAGACAGAGGATCTGAATAGAATATTATGTGATAAGATAATGTTTACTGAACCATTGCTGCTGCAATTGAGTAACACTTGCATTGATTATGTGGCCTTAGTACATATCTGTGATATATTTCAGAGACTCAACATTTATGCTGGTATACCTGATGATTATGGTGTTATAATAATTCAATATGTCTCATTTTATTTAATTCATTTTGCGAGATAATTTTGTGGCCATTATTACACAGCTACAGCTAACATGAATAAAATGTAAAATAAGAAATAAAATAAAAAAAACTTCAATAGTTCCCTATCTGAGAAACCTCCAGCAGAAGAATGTGCACATCTCTTTCCGGGGTGCAAGTCTGTGATTTACTTACCATAAAGCTTTGCTTAGTGAAAACATTAAATAAAACTAGAAGAACTTGGAAGCTGCCTTTAGCTTATTTCTTTTTTTCTGGAATGTAATGTTGAGAAAGATTGCTAAGAAGCCAAATGTTGTGTGTGTGTGATGTAACCATGGCAATCAGGCATTTTTAGCTGAAAGCTGACAAAGTTTATTTGATCACTCAAATGATCTACACCTACACTCACGTTTACCCTGACTACATGAAATAAAAACTCAAGTCCCAGACCTAGAGATTGAATGGAGTCTTGAGTATTTAAACCAAATCCAAGTCAGTTCTTTGCCACTGTTTTTGCATTGTTAATGTAAGCGTTAATATGATAACTTGTGTACACATTTGCAGCCGTGTTTATGTGAAGATACCAGTGTGTAACCCTTAGTGCTTTAGACTCCATCTCTTGGTTTGAGCTGTGCCTTCATACATCTCTCTGTTGCTGTATGTCTGTCTGAGTGATGTTCTGTTCCTTTGTAAATATTTGCACCTGACAGCAAATCTATTTCTATTTAATAGTAGATGTGTGTGCTCTGTTGGCATGGGAAGGGTTTCTGTGCGAGGAGTATTTGCATTTTACTGTGAAGCTTTAAGCTGGGTTGGCGCTATGGGTCCTTAATACACCAATGTTGTGCTCTCTAATTGGAAGTTCAACATGTATAGCAGCACACAATCTGCCACACTCAGCAGCTTAACTTCGCTTTTATTAAGGCACACATCTTTGTTTTTGCAGAGAAAGTTTGCATGATGATGATATTAATCGGTATGCGTTTGGAACACACTATTAGCTGCATGTGTTCATGAATTCAAATCAAACCTACACAATACATATATAAGTACACGACACTTTGTGCTCATGAGTGGCAGCACAAAATAGCTAGTATTTCCTACAGTAATGTAGGGGGGCAGCTTTTTCCTCATGTTGCTGCCTTTATGTGTGACAGTCTTTCCAGCCACCTTTCTTTTTTTTTTTTTTTTTGTTTATTTTCCCTCCTACACACTTTGACGGGGTTCCACACCACTGCTCTTCTGAGATTACACTACTTTAAACAGGCACAGCTTTAGCTCTGCCTAAGCAAGGAAGCACACACACCCAGGAAACTCTCACGTGTAAACACCTACGTACAACTCATGCAGCTTCTGTTCAGCTAAACATAACAGAGCCTTTAACAAAAACTAAGAGTTTAGGAGTAACAAATGTTTATTTTCATTCTGCACTTTGCATTCGTTCACCACCTTTTGTTATGATCATCCAAAAATGTTTATACAATTTGAAAACTTGAATTTTTGTCTGGAAAAAAAAATGTTTAATGTCCTATGCTAAGTGTTAAAAGTAAACAACAAAATGAGTCACCCATGTAGCAAAATTGAAATCAACTCATAAATTTATCTTAAAAACCATTGTCTTCTAATAGGTTGTGAAAAAAACGTCGCCGAATGTTTTATAATCGCCAAGCAAAATGTTCTAGACTTTTCCTCTCTCGTAAATATGCGAGGTTCTTCGGCAAGAAAGCTCTTCAGAGCAAACAATAAATATTCTTACCTTACGCAAACTACAGACAAGGCCGACATATATAAACTTGCATTCAACTTCCTTTCAGTCAGCTTATGGTGTAATGGACTCTAGCTGGATCAATGGGGAGTTTGATTGTCACTATAGAGGCTGATGCTCGCAAGAAAATCAATTTGAGAATAGTTCAGTGAGCATATCCCCGTATTCAAATAGCCCCTCATTGTTTGATCCCTGAACGGCTTCAGAGTTCCTCCCTGTGGTGAAGAAGGTTCCACTTCAAAAGGATCGGTCAATTATTATGGCCTGAATGGTTGAATGTGGGCTTGATTCACCGTTGATGAGTTTAGACCTTTTACTTTTACTATTGTGTCTCTTTTTTTTCACCGTTATGTTCTGCCGCAGAGATAAATCCATCAAGAGTTTCTTCTTTCTCCTTCTCACTTTCCCCATTAGGCTTCTCTCAGTTGGTGCCTCCATTGGTGATCAAAGATAAGGCAATGAACTTTTGGTAGGTTATAGCAGGAGTAATCGTATTTCAGCACTTTTTCCACATAGATTCAAACCTGTTGAAGTAGGAATGTGCATTATTTGTAGTTGAGATTTCACCTGCTGTCCTCGGCTTCAGTGTTTTCACATAAACATTGACAATGTTTTCTATAACACACAGACAAATAGTGAAAAATTATGACTGAGCATGCTTTCCAAGTAGGGCTTGCCTTTCTTCTGCTCTTTCACTAAGGCAGGGGTCCCCAAACTACGGCCTGCGGGCCGCATCCGGCCCGCCTCCACATTCGGTCCGGCCCCCTGAACAATACCAGAGAACATTCAGTTTTTTTTTTTTCATTTATTGTATTTTCCGGTTTATATGTGGATTTTTCTTCAACCACCAGGGGGCTCTTTAGCAGGAAGTAAACTGTGGGTGTTTTGTTTTGCATGGCGCATTGCTGCCATCTGTTGGACTTTAAGGGAACTGCTTAACTTTTATGTTATTTAATCAGTACGGTTGTTTGCTAGCGGTAATGCAGATGAACACACGTGTTATGAACGCCGCATTCCAGGTCGAGTTCTTCGAAGCGATGCCTGTAAGTAGCAGCTTATACTTCAAAACGAGCCTTTATGTTAACATATGAGAAATTAATAATTTAAAGTTGCATTCCCTCAATGGAATATATACTAGTCAGTCCCAGTGACCGTTTCAGTCACGGGTTTTGCCCATGTGCTTTCTGGGTAAAAAACAATCGAGAAACGCCCCCCCACCCTCACCCCCCTTGTGTGATTTTGTTGTCAGCACATTCAACTTTGTACAGAACAAAGTATTCAATGAGAATATTTCATTCATTCAGATCTAGGATGTGTTATTTGAGTGTTCCCTTTGTTTTTTTGAGCAGTGTACCTTTTTTCTGACAAAGCAGCTGGAGACATGAACATGTCGAACACCAATCCTGACTTCTGAGTGGTTTACAGTCCTAGAGCCCTGTTTTTTTTCCGAAGTTTAGTCTTTATACTCTAGTTTATTTTGACAAAACTGCCTCCATCACGGTGAAGTGTGACTTCTGCCTTTGCTATGAAGTGTGTTGATCATTACCCTGCTCACTACAATCACAGACCACTCAGCTCTGTGCTGATTGTTCTTCTCAGGTTTCTGTTTTTTTTTCTGTTCCACTCGTCCTTCAGAAGTTACACTAGATTATCTTTAAGAGTATTTTTCACGTTTTATTTGGCTGATAATATGTAGTTTGTTTAGGAAAACAAAACCAACTGATGTTAACTGTAGTAATGCAGTGATAAAGACATGTTCGATCAAACTCGATGCTTTGGAGTTCTTCATTTCTTTAACCCATCTCTTCAAATTCATTCTTCTAATATGTAATTTCCATCATTATGTCTGATCCTTCTCACCTCCCTGAAATGAGGCATGGCAGAGGGTCTTATGTAGACAAATGAGGCAATTTTGCAGCAGACTGATGACAAGAAGAAAGACCTGAATCATTAGATTGATCTTTGATGAATTACAGCCTCTCTGCTCGGCTTCGCTTTCTGTCCAATAGTGTGTTGTCTTTCATGTGCTCATCTAACCATCCCTGCCATCCATGGTTATAGCGTTACGGCATTTGTCCTCGTAACAATAAGAAGGACTTTACCTCCCAGCCATTTCATCTTATCGATTCCAGTCTACAGTATGCCTTCACAATATGTATGTATAGATAGATCTGCTGTTGTTTTTTGTGATTATCTGTATTTATCAACTTATGTCAACTGAAAATAGTCTAGATAAATGTTCTCATAAATGTTCTCTTTACACCAGGGGTGCCCAAACTTTTTGAGACCAAGATCTACTTTTTCTGTCACCAGCCGGCTGAGACCTACCTCATAACACGAAGATATAAAAATTGTAAATGAAACTCTATTGACTTATTTCATGTGCAAATATCCATCAGTCATAGCAGACGTATTAAAGTGATAGAAAACCTGATGCAGTTTCTTCCTCAGTGAGATTCAGACACTGGGAGGAGGTTACTGGTTTCAGAAGCTGGTTGCAAACCTGAGGCCAGCAGGTATTAATCAGTTATGGTAGCTCTGAACTTTGGTTTAATGACCTCAATATGAGAAATTTCAGACTGATAGGAGGAACCACAGAGCTCTGTTAAGATAAAAGGACATCTTATGAAGTTGGAATATTTTTCCTCCAACAAGATCCAGAGGACCGTAAAGTTTACACACTGAATACATTTCATTTATTTTATAAAAACACGTCATAAAATAATTCATATCAGGCTCACTGACCTCCAACACACCAAACAAAATTGCTTTTGAGCAAGGATTTAGTAACAGCGGGGAGGAATGAAACTTTCTTTAGACAAGAAGAACCAACAGAGCCAGACTCCATGAAGAGATGGAAAAATTAAAGAGTAGCAAAATGCTCTGCCTCTCAAACAGTACCATAAGCAAAACATAAGTCAGTCTGCACTGGAAGCAAAGTGAATAATATGGCACTGTGACCTATTTAAGATATGACAGACATTAATCTTTGAGATGATTGCACAGTATTTAGAAGATGGTGCTTAAATTATTTTCTGGGTTTCACAGAGAACAGACAAAAGGAGGGTAAAATCTGTCTTTGACTGCAGGAGTTTTGTGAGTTGATACTTGTAGTAAAAATGTAACAGAACAGAAAAGAATAGGATATACTTTACTGATCCCACAGGGGGAATTGCTTATTTGATGACAAGATACTCCATCTGTCAGCAATATAGAATTTATATATATATATATATATATATATATATATGAGGGTCACAAGTTGTCTTGCAGAAAATAATCAGAAACTATTTTTTTCTCTGTTTTCTCTTTTAAATACCCAGTTGATCTGAATCGTCTCCATGACGACGTCAAGCGGTATAGCTGCACACCTCGGAACTACTCTGTGAACCTTCGGGAGGAGCTGAAGACCACCAACGCTGTCTTCTTCCCTCGATGTCTGCTGGTGAAACGCTGCGGAGGCAACTGTGGCTGTGGGACCAACAACTGGAACACCGGCTGCACCTGTCAGCCCTCGAAAACCACAACAAAACTACACGAGGCAGGTCCTTTTGTCATGTAACGGCGTTAGTTGATACACAACTCAAAGGACATAAATGTTAAATACATTTGGGGCTTTCAATTGATTTTTTATTATTTTTTTCCCGAACTGCTCTTTTCCAGAGTGGAGTGATTGTGCAGCTAACATCTATAGCTAATTTTACAACAACAAATCGAAACACAAGCTTTATAACATAGTGGATTATCCAATCAAAAGTCAGCATGATACGTAGAAGTTCAAATGCAGTACAGTACATACACACACACTTATATTTGGTCAAATGACCCCTAGCGAGTTTCACCTAGACCAGGTGCTTTTGGTAGCAACCAACCACCTTCTTCCACAGTTCTTGTTTGATAATACACCAAAATTTAACCAAATTCTAGAGAGCGTGTTTGCTTATATTTGAGCCTGTATATAGAATTGAATCGCATAGATTAGATAAACCACTAATAAAACCTCAGATGTGCACCTCAATCTTCTTTTTAAAACAGGTTTTTTTGTGTGTGTATTGACTCCATCATGAAGAAAGACTGGATCAAATATAACATTTATGCATGTGATCAGTACTTATAAACTGCCAGTAGAAATTGTTAACTCCACAATCTCCAAAAATGCCAAATGGCTGAATACGAAGGAATTTCCCCGAAACCCGAGTGAAACGATGACTGATGGTTTTATCCTGCTCAACAAAAAGACTGCAGAATAAATGTATTTTGAACTTGATGCCAGCAATGTGTTTGAAAAAAGTTGGGACAAGGTCAAAGAGAATCCCATAGAGGATGATCTGTTCTGAGGTAAAGGATTCACTGCTCCATCAAACACCCACTGAATATATTTTAACCAGCAGAAACTTTTATTTTTAGATGAAAGATGGCAGACTTTAAGGAGTTAATTATCTTCAAAATATAATATGACCAGAACAGCCGCGTAATTCAGATAAATTCCTAAATTCATGGACCCCGACTGAAAAGCACTGCGGAGTAGTTGCAGCTCTATGGGTCTTCAGGCCGCGCGGCTTTAAAAACAAACATGACTCTGAAGTGGAAATGGCCGCAGGGCCCCAGGAACGCCACTGAAAATTATTGTTAGCGAGCACAGCTCATATGGAGCACATCCCAGCTGTCACAGGCACACAGCGTGCACATCGGACAGGTCGGCAGCGGAAATTTAAAATTCCTTTTGAAATCGAGAAGCCATCATGCTTGCTAATGAGCACAGGGACTAACAGGCCTGTTATCACAGCACAGTCAGAAGTGAACATCTGTTGTGATATATATTAAGTTACAGCAGTCCATGTGGCTTGGCTAACTTTGACATCTCCATTAACAATGAATGTGCGAGTCTCCCAGCAACATATATTGCCATCGACATGGTTCCTGTTTCAGATGAGACCCTGCTGATTTAATAAGACTACTAAATTATAATTACCACAAATTTCCTACAATCCACTGAAGATGGATTCCTGCCGTCCTACTTAATATAAAGAAGATTGGAAAATGTTAGTTATTTGAAACTACATCTTTTTAACTCCTTTTTTGTGCTTAAATTGATTTAGCTATAATAACATGTTTTTGTTTGGACTTTCAAAATGCCGCTGTTTGAAAAACATATCTCCATAAATCAGATGACCATTGAAAAGTTAATGTATGTCCTCAATCTGATTCAAAACACTCATATTTTAAACATTCATTACACATACATGCATAATGTCAATGGTTGTTTCTAGTTAGCACTGCGAGAAGGCAGAGGAGCATGATTTTATTTTTTTCACAAATGATCTGCCTCATATACTGTCAAGGCATACTGACAATTTTAACGAATATGTGAAAACCACATTTTTTGTAAGAGTTGCACACTGCAGCTGTGATATTAATTAACTACAAATAATATTAATTTAAAAATGTATTAATTGGCTTGATGCTTAATTTGATCACTTAATTGTTTTGACACAAGTGAGACATAATTTTGTTAAAAATCATATCTGAAAATACACCACTGTGTATGGAAAATTGCTATACGATTCACTTTTTGGTTGATCTCTAAAAATAAATTCATTTTTCTACGATATTTAAATTTGTTGAGCTCATTTTTTATATGTAAGGATGTGTATGTATGTGTACTCACAATATGAGTAAAAGTTTTAAATTTTGCCTTTTTAGTAAAAAAAAAAAAGACAAGCAAATACCCAAACTCAATACCTGTAAATGTGTCAGTGCACATCAAACACCCAAACAAGATCCACTGGTGAACATTCATCAGGGTTTTCAAACATGCACTTCTGTTTAACTTTCATTCACACTTGAGTGACTTTCTCAGAGCATCTTAAAAAGACGGCGAGAGAGTAAGAGGCTGCGCAAACGAAGAAATATATTGAGACGCTCAATGTGGGAGGAGAAGGAAGAAGAAGCTGAGCGTGTCGAGGCCGGCGCTGCATCAACAGCCAAAGCAACAGAGCACCAGTCTGGCTCTTTCTCTCCGCTTCTCATTTCCTTCCAGTCACTCCATCTTCTGAGCGTTCTATCTTCCATCCCCGTCTCCCTCTCCTTTCATTCTTCCCAATTCCCATTTTCAATTTGTCCCTTTGCAATGCACCATTCTTGCTTTTTAAGCCTGTCATTCATTTCTTTTCTCTCGCTTCCCTCCATTTCTTTGTGCCTTTGTTCTCCTATAGCTTCATTATTGAAACGTGGTCCACAGGGCTCTTTTTCTGCCTTAGGCTCTTCTCAGAGTTAAAAACCACACAATAGGAATTTAGACAAAAGTGGGATTTGGGATTGTAATTGTTCTCTGTCCTGTGAGTGTGTTAGCATGTAAATGTGTGGAATACAGTCAAAAAATGTGCAAGCATGAAAGAGGAGCATTTGCCCGGATGAACAGTCAGATTTCGTGTCCTCATGAATATTTTTCTGCTATGAATTTTTTTGTGTGTTTGATGGGCAGCTTCTTCTGGATTTCTTGATCTCTTCGTGGATCTGTTACCGCTTCCTTTAGCAGCAGCTACTACTACTAAAGGAAACAGTAACTGCGACACACAAGTATTACTGACACTGCAGCTTCTGTGCTGGGAAGTCACACACACTATTTCCTTCATCCAGCTGTGTTAAATAAAGCCACTGCATCACTTATGGAGGAATGTGTGCTTCATCTTAAAATAGTTTTTGAGTTGTTGCTGCTGCTGTTGCCTCGCAGCCAGACAGTACTGGATTCAAACCTCTGGACAGGGACCTTTTGTGATGAGTTGCATGTTCTCCCTGTTCATACGTGGGTTTATTCCAGTCTCCTACCTCCTATCCAAAAACCTTCCATTGTAACCCGCCTTAACGTGTGTGTGCATGCAGGGCTGTCTGTCTGCCATGTGTCCGAGTGGACCTTATGATGGAGCGGCATCTGGCCAGTTGTTTTGTTTTGTAGAGTAGTCTCTAAGCACATTTATGTTTCTTCGTAGATTCTGAGTCTCCTTTCTGTGCCATGTATTTGTTGGAAATATTCATTTTTTTTACTGAACCTGTATTGGGATCCCTTGGGACTCTGTCCTGTTTTCCAACAAAAATAATAAAAAAAAAAACAATAACAAAAACACAACCTGGAAATGGATAAAATTCAGAATTTCCCGCATAGCTTGCTGTTTTCAGCTGTCGGGGTGGTTGTTGTACCTCGCATTTGTCCATCCTTATCTGTTTAAATATTTTTAAAGTAGAATAGCTGCTGTAATACACAATTACTGAAAATATCACCAGACCACTCAAAGACGTTTTCTTATATGTGATAGTTTTTTTGTTTTGTTTTTTTGAATACACCAAATCCCTTTTGAAGCCTCTTGCAGGTGTCCAAGTTAAAGGTTGTCAGCATTGCTCCCGTCCTCTGGAGTAAAGTTATTTCCTCCCCTACACTGCTCAGTCAGTGGTGTTTGATGGATCCTTTCCCACACTGCAGATAAATCTGGTGTCTCAGAGCACAACTGTAATGGCGTCATAATGTCATTTCGAATGAGTAAGAGAGAAAACCATCGTGGGTAGCTGTCTGTCTGAGAGAGGAGTGCGATGCACAGAGAGGGTACGGGACCAACCGCTCCGTCCCTCTGACCACAACAGTGATAGACAGGCCCACCCGGCACCAAGTCTGTAAGGACTCCGGTGAATGCAGCCAGCCAGACGCTCCACTTATAGATCAGCCTGCTAACTTTACATTATATGGTAAATAGAAAATACATCCGGTCTCCTGCACGATGTTTCAAAATCTAACTTTTTTTAGCAACTTGCTCCTTCATTTGGGTCTTTTGCTGCAAAAAATGCACAGGCATCTTTCTAATTAATAGCAATAGTGCTTTCTGTTTGGCTCACTTGTTAAGTTTTCATCCATTTCTATCTCTTCCTTTTGTCTCCTGTAGGTGCTGAAGTATGCCCCAGAGACCACGCCGTACAAGCACCAGCAGAGGCAGCGGGTGCGCTGGGTTATTGATGAAATTTTCCTCTCGCATCATGAAATGTGCGAATGTGCGTGTCCGCTGCAGCCTCCTCGCTGAGACACTGATTCCGGCTCGTGCGTCTAGAACTGATGGATGAATTCTTCTTTTCCCTGTTTCGCAATGGACTCTATATCCCAAACAGCACCGCTGACAAACATGCAGCAGAAAAGAGGGCAACAATCTGACTGATGCACTGCAGCTTGCATTGTACAAAATGACATTTGCTTCAGAACGTAAATGACTCTCTGAGCATAGATTGCTTTCTTCCTTTAGAAGTGGACAAAAGTTTCCGACGAAAACAATTTCTCGTGTTTCTTTACGCCTTCTCTGTCCGTACCAAATCTTAACTCGATGTACTGTGTCTTACAGGAGCATTAAAACCCTTCAACCTTTGTCACATCTTTGTCATATTAGAACCATGAATTTCAATTCGTTTTTTTTTTTTTGGAGATTTTATGTGATAAATCAAGACAAATTATAATTGCACAGTAAAAGGAAAATGACACACATTTCTATTTTATACTTAATAGCCTGAAGATTCCTACTGAGTCTGATGAAACCTGAACAGCACCCCCACAGTATGATGTTGCCACCACCATGTATCTCCATGGGTTTTTAGGGTGGTCATTGCTCTCCATGCCTAGCCTTTCAGCTTTGCTGGACAGTCATGTCTTGGTAGGTTTATGGTTGTCTAACATCATTTTCGAAATGATGAGTTAAACAGTTCTCCATGGAACGTTGCTTGGAGTATTGTACCTAACAATTAAAAAGGGACATATTTATCTATGCCACATATCTTATCTCCTTCCTGTTCTTTCATTTCCCTTTCTTCCCAAACTGGTCATTGTTGTGGAAAGACAAAATACGTAAAAGAAAATCAAGGGGTGTGAATATGTTGGTTTAAACTGAATAATGTTTTTCTTTAAAAGGAAACCAAAAAAAAAAATTGAAAGAAGTTAACTGTGTTGAAAGTCACTTTGGGTTTCAAAGGGTTTTACTTGATGCCAGTCTGACTTAAGTAAAACTAAATTTATCCAATGCACTATTTAAGCTTTCTGGGTTGTTTCATGTGCATGCATGTTTATGCATTTGCAGGGTTTTGTGTTTAATGACTTTTTCGAGACACTTCATGCCAGGAGGCTGAAATGAGTGAACGAGAGGAAGGAGGAGGGAAGGAGTTTGCCGAAAGTTTACACCAAAATAACACATTGCTAGTTGTGAAATTAGGCAAGCTAGAACCCTTCAGGTCTGAATTTTACAAACTTCACACAAACATGAAGTACAAAAACATTCACTCCAGGCAACCTTAGGCTCAAAACCAATATATGTGTGCAAAGTGTGGCTTTATTTTGCTCAAATTTAATTCAAATGCACCCCTTGACTTTGAGTGTCGGTCAGTTCATTCACCTCAGAACACACATTCCCTTCATCACTCACCTTATAAGACATCAAAGAAAGCATCAGGTCATGCTGCAGTGCCATGCCCATTTTCTTTCCTGAGCATTCCTGGCATTCCAGCTGCTAAGCGAAATCCTGCTGCAGCGGATAAAGCCGTGAACCTCGGACCCCGAACACATTACAGAGGAAAGAGAGCTGGAAACACAGGAAGACCGACGGAGAGGAAGTTGTTTTGGAAAGGTGTCTGAACTGTCAGAAGGTCTATTTGTAGATTAGCAGTGAGACACTTTCTGCACAAATGAGAGCAAGCCTCCCGTGAAAACAGAACCCATACTTGAATGGGTGTGTGGGTGTGTGTCAGTCTAATAACTCAGGAAGAGACCCTTTTGTTTTAAAAGGTGGAGGGTTACGAACAGTCTGTGAGAGTTGGCAGCAGCTGCGGAAATGTGAACGGTCAGCATGTGCAAGGTGTGTGCATGATATCAAACCAGTCAGTAGCAGCAAAACGGTGTACTGTTTGCAAAGCTGAGCAAATGTCTGTAAATGTGGTGACCTGTTCATCTGTCACTTGTCTTCTAACCTCCCCTATCCCACCTTCCTCGTGTGCAGGCTGGATTTCAACAGAGAAAATTAGATTCCGCATGCTACCTCGCCTCCAAAAGCTGAAAAACAACAGAGGTTGACATGGAGATGGTTCTGCAGTCAGACTGTAACCCAATCAATGCACAGAGTTTGCATGCATGTGTGTGATGCAAGACGCGGCTGTTCCTGGATATTTAATACTCTAATGTTGCAAGTTGGCCAGTCGTCACGTTTTTAGGTAATTTATACCAGGCAACACTGATAAACAAGTGTGGATTAATTTATTGGCTCCCCTTATAGGGACATGTGAAAATCCTCTCTGTGTTCCTTTGTTTTTAATCTGATGGTAAGAAGTTTAGACAACTCCAACTCTTAAAATGAGTACAATTATTCTGTTGATTATAAGAAAACAAGCGCAGGTGGTCGATACAAAAAGAAATTTTCTTTAAAAAAAACGTCCTAAGTGTTCACAGTTGCCAAATTAAAAATGGAAAATATTTGATAAAACACTATTTCTCTTTAATAATTTTTTTTTCTTATGTTTACTTTTGCTCTCATTTAAATTTCATAGTAGATAGGACCAGAGACATCCAGCAAGGGTAACTCATTCACTGAAGTTAGTGAAACACAGTAAGTGTTTGAACGTGTTTCTGTTCGGGGTTTTGTTTTATTATTTTCTTTCCTAAAAAGCTTAAACTTAGTCCCATCTGATCAAAGCACACAGTCCGAGTTATAGCCCAACTAGAATTTAAGTTTATGAAGTTTGGACAGGTGAGAGTTATTCTGCTGCGTCTCCCATCAGAAATCACCTAATGGCTGTCATGGGGGCTTTGTGACCCCAGGGTGACGCCCCTTGCTGCTAACAGGAAGCTTTGAAGATGGAAGACTGAAGATTTGTACCTCCCTTACCATCCTGTTCGATGTCTGTAGTGACAAGATAAATATATGGTTCCTTGTCCAGCTTGATGCCAACCGGCTTGAAGAAACCGGCCTCTGTGTCACCTCACATTTCAAACTTGAGGGAATCAGGAAGTGAGGAACTCTTATCAAAAAGTTTAAAGAAAAAAAATAATAATTTCTGGCTACCATATATATTACAAAGAAAATATAAAGACGGTAAATATATGCGCAATAATTATTTGTATTCAAATTAAAAGTTGTATAACTTGACTTTTTTTTTTTCAATTTAAGATTGTGGTGCTAGAATAATCTTAATTTTTATAAGAGGGGCGACAAATGTGACTGTATCTGAGTACACGTGTGTTGCATTTGAAAATGAAGGGGAAACTCAGCGTTTATGAAAGGGACCAAACATTACCCTGTATGCAGCTAATTGTTTATGCACGCATGCTTTTAACTCTAGAAGGAAAAAGAAAGACAGACTGGGGTTAAAATTAGTGAGTGTAGCAATGTAATTGATATCTGAACATTTTATTGATGACACTAAGAAGAAATATTTTACACAACCTAGAGTAAATGAATGCAATCAACTGCAAATGTATGCATTGTAAAAACATGTGAGTGGATGTGTGTGTGCATCCTGTGTCTGCCACTTTCTTTGTGTTAACAGCACATTCCATTGTTAGCTCCAAAGTGACGCTTTTCTTTTAACAGATAAGAGGTTTTGTTTTCTCGCGCAGTTCCTTACTAAAACCTTCACTCGTTCACTTGGTTCACTTACGACAAGTAGCGGAATCAGTGCCACACAGTTTTACTTTTTAAACAGATTTATTCTAATATTATTTTTTCTTCTGTGCAATCAGATGACTGCACTGTTGTCAACTCAGAGAAAGTTTCTGATGTCAGATTAGCAAATCTTTGTTTTATTTCTAAAACTGTTTTTGCAGACGAAATTGGAGAAGCGCCAAGTTTAAACATGAGCGGAGGGAGAAAGTAAAAAGATACGGAGCAACAGATGTGGCACAATGACACAGAGACTCGTCTGTTGCTTAGGTGTCAAAGACCTTCTCACACACAGCTGTCAGAGAACAAAGATCACCACGGTTATCCAAAAATTTGCTCTTATGTGTTATCTACCAGCTTCTGGTTTAGGAAGGGCGGAATAATGAAGAGATTTACTCTTTGTAATCTGGGAGAGGGAGTTTATTGCAAGAGCTGTGACTGATTGGATCCTTTGAGCTGCTACCAGTTCAGTCAGGTTCATTAGATCTGGATTCAGATAACAAGGCTGTTTAGATGTTAGCCTGATCCCATCTATTGCATATTGATGTTTCAGAGCAGTGTTATTAGTTATCAATTAGCAATTAATGTAAGCCAGGTGTGTGTTATGGAAGTGTGACACCAGTGTTGGAAGCTCACCAAGAAGGAATAAAAACCAGAAGTTTTAAGATTTTTATCATATTTGTTTATCCTTGATAGTATCCAATTTGGGCCTGCCATAGCAATGCATAGGAGATAATTGAAATGCCTTGCTAAGGCACCTATTACTCTACACCTCAAAATAACTACCACTTAATTCAGCTCCTACCGCTGTGTCCCCACCCCCGCCCCCACAATATATCAAAACATGCGACTGGATCTCAGCATGCGGGGCTATTACTTCTGTTGGCATTTCGGGGTAACCATGGCGACGTAGTTAGGAAAAACAGCAAATTCTATCTCAAAACAGAGAATTTTGTCTCCCCCTCTCTGTCTCACTCACACATGACAGTTTATGTGATAGCTATCACCATAGCAACAGAACACTGAGGAGAGCAGTATTTCAAAAGAGCAGAATAATAATAAATCTTATGTTTTTTGAACAATAACAATATTTGTTGTCAATCTGTTACTAAGTGATGAGCACGTTTCCTGGTAACCAAGTGTCACGAAGTAAACATCTGATTTTTAATTAGCAAAATTTACCAACTGTAAATTTTTTGTGTCTAAGCAGATAAGCAGTATTTCAAAAGGGCTTATAACTCATTTGGTGTTACGAAATTAGCATTTTTTTTCTGGTAACGAACTGCCACGAAGTATAAATCAGATTTTTACTTTTGTGTTGAATGCCTGTTTTATAATATATTTGTATTATAAGAACGCCTCCTCTAAAAAAAAAATACACTTGTATTGTAAAACAGACAGGAGGAGAAGTTTTAAGTACAGGCATTACAAGTTTTGAGAAGAAAAATACAAAGTTCTGCTTTCAAAATAAAAATGTAAGCAAATGTATTAAATGTTTTGAGAAATAAAGATATTAAATCCTGCTTTCAGATGGAAAATGTGTGCTCTTGGATTATCAGCCAAAAACATCTGCATTTTGCCATCTTTTTTTAGATTTGCTAATTTGTTGCCATTTTTTGGACAAAATCCCTTTTCATTACAAATAGCTATCAGAACCCCTTATATGGACAGCACAGTGGTTTATAAGCAGCTAATTTAAAAAAGACTGTCCAACTGAAGGACATGAGACAATGTATA